AGATACACCTTTCCGCCTTTGCATGCTCCTTTTGCGCCGGCCCGATCTCACCGGGTTTCTCCGATCGATAACATCTCGCTCGCGACTCGCCTCGGACCCACAGAATTGCCGGATATCCGTCATTCATCGTCGTCGTCGTCGTCGTCTCGAACAATGTCAGCCGGCTACGTGTATATCCAGAGATTACATAACCACCGCCGATAACGCACGCGCCTAGAGCGTGATCTCGATTTCTTTCTTGTACCGCTGGATAATAATCTCATATCTCGCGAAGACGATACCGATCAAAGAATTGCGTAAGCAACATGTTGCGTAGCGACGTTGATATACGCGACAAACGTTAGCTCGCGGATCGCCGGACAATGATGTACTTTCCCTTTTGTCTCGCGCATGGAATTTTCGCGCGCGCGCGCGATCGCGATCGCGGCCCGTCGCTTCACAGAGGTCGTCCTGCGGAGCGGACAGATCGGATATTCGCCGCGGGCAGTCACGGTTCTTTTTCAGGACCTGCGGTCCAATCCGCCGTGTAAATCGAATAGAAATCGAGGGCGTCGATATCACAGGCCCGGGCGAGTGCATCGGTCCGCGCGCGCGGTGCATCGCGGCGCATCGCGGCGCAGCGCGGCGCGGCGCTGCGCCGCATGAAACGTGGGTCGAGCGAGAGATAACTCGTCGGCGTTCGCGCCGCGCGGAGCCCAGCTGTGGGCGCGGCGGATATCCCGCTGTGTCTCTCCAACATGGCCGACGTCATATGCACACCCACGCCGTGTCTCTCCCCCTGCCTCCCGCGTCTCTCCTGCCCACTCTCTCTCTCTCTCTCTCTCTCTCTCTCTCTCTCTCTCTCTCTCTCTCTCTCTCTCTCTCTCTCTCTCTCTCTCTCTCTCTCTCTCTCTCTCTCCCCCCTCTCCCCCCCTCTCCCGATTCTCGCCGCATCGAATTACACGGTCGGCGAAGTAATTTACAAAGCTACGCCCGCGAGCGCGAGCGCGGCACGGAATCGTATCCGTTACATCCCTCCGCGCGGCGGCGCGCGTACAAATTCGCGATCGCCGATAACGATACCGCGAGAGATTAATGGCGCCGCGGCGCGGCCTCTTTGTCTTTGGCCGGCTGGGGCAACGTCGACGAAAGCAGTCGCGCGGGCTCCCTGATTAATTAGGAACACGGGCGTGGTAATGGGTGGGTCGGACGGAGAGAGAGAGAGAGAGAGAGAGAGAGAGAGAGAGAGAGATATTTCGCGATCGGGAAAATCACGCCGGCGCTTTCTCTCCGTTCCGTCGCGCGTGCACGAGCACGCAGCTGTGACGTATATAGAATCTGTCCCTGCAGATACTGATTCGTTCTTTACTGTGCGCGCATCGATGTCACATTCGCCGTGTCGGTGCTCGGCGGGACTTCGGGTAAACTTGCGCGGGCGCGGGCGCAGGTCCGAAGGAATATATACACCGTTCGTATTTGATATTTTATTATCATATTTCATATTTTATATCGCTTCAACGCGCTTCAAATTTCTCGACGACCACTCGGCGGCATCTTAATCCCCTGCTCGGTAAACGCGGGCGCGGGCCCTCGGTCGCTCGGGATAATTCTCCCGTCCGTCGACCTTTGGGAAAAAAATGTGGCTAGCGATTCTGCGTATGACGAGGGGAGGACCATTCCGAGGCACTTGAACGCGGCGGGAAGCAGCGTTCGAGTTGGCACGCGGTGTCCACAGCGCGCGGGAATCAAATCTAATCGCTTCCTGATTCGATCGTTCTATTCAGGCATCGCCTCGACAAGAGGCGACTCGTCCCTTCTCGCAGTACGTTCTCGAAAAACAAAACGGAGGGAAAAGAACGAATCGCCAGGAGGAGAGTCGTCGCGCGCGGCTTCCTCGTCGCAAACTCGTACGTAGCACTCAGGTGCCACGGCGTTGTGAATACGGCGGAGTTTCCTGTCTCGCCGACCGCGACGCTTCGACAAGAATCAAGCCGCTTAACCTACGCGCGCGTGGCTGACGAAGCGAAAACTATTGCTACAGTTTCAAGTATCGGCGCATCCTCGCCACCATACGTGAGAATAACGCGCGCGTAATGTATGACGAATACAATGGAAAATAGTCGGCAGCCCTAAACACGTGTCCGCCGACTGTAATTGACGCGGAAACGTTTCGTACGCGCTCGCGCGCGCGCGCGCGCGGAAGGTCTATCGTTCGGCCGAAGACCGGCCGAGTCCGGCCGCGTGGTCCCGCTAGCCACTTAATCCGCAAACATGGCGGTTCGGCCGAGCCGACGGTTACGCTCCGGCGCCGGTTTATCGGTGAACGGGGAAACGTCGTGGTGAACGATGAGTAGGCGATGCGCGTGTAAGCCGATGCTGGTATGTTCTCGATAAAGGCACAATTTCTGTTCATACTAAATTACTCGATTTTCTGCTCGTTGGAGATAGCGCGCGCTCGTTCCATTTCTACGCTTGTCAAGACGCGAGATCGTTGTTGGTATATATATCGACAGCGAGTGTGTTTAAATACCTAACCTAGGGGCCGACGCGCCGCGGCCGAGACCGGGAGTGATTTTAATCACTCGCCACAGCGTTATGGCATTCCCCCTTGCATTCGCACGTTGTAGTTCGCGCAATAAGAATCATCTCTTGTATCATGGGAGAGCCGAGGGAGAGGGCAAGAGTTTGCCAGAAAGAATCGTCCGGAAGAAGACAAAGTGAAGGAGGTAAAGGTTGTCCCAAAATTCACGCAAGAAGTAATTTTGATAGAAAGCACAGGTTTATGATTAAAAATTGTAAATTTTTTATTGATTCATAAAGTATACAGTTTAGGGTTGTGTGTGGAATAGCATATCGGGTAAATGGCCTCCACGGCTTTGCCGGCACATATGCACTCTTTTGTTGAAATTGTCCATGACCGTTTTGCATAAATGCGAATTTACGCAAAATTTGATACAGCGCTCAATTTCCTCCTTCAAGGCGTGGTCAAGGGGTGGTCGTGGGCTTGTTGGCATAAACCTTAGACTTCAAAAACCCCCCCAAAGAAAAAAGTCCAACGGCGTTAAATCGCATGATCTGATCACCAAAACGGGAAATTACACGACCAGGAAATGACTCATGGAGTAATTGAATTGTTTCTCGGGCTGTATGGCACGTGGCACCGTCTTGTTGAAACCACATCCATATCTTGCAAAAACTGGATTATCATGTCGCGATAGCGAGCACCATTAACTGTTATTGCCTGACCAGCCGCATTTTCTTCCGAAGAATGGTCCGATGATGCCTCCAGCCCAAAATCCGCACCAAACAGTGACACACGTTGTGGATGCATTTGTTTCTCGACAATCACTCGTGGATTTTCTGAACCCCAAATGCGACAATTTTGTCGATTAACCAAGCCATCAAGAAATGAAAATGAGCCTCATCGCTGAAGATGATTTTGTTCGAAAAATCAGCATCCACTTGTTGCTGTTCCATAATCCGTTCAACGAACTCTCTTCGCTGTGGCCGTTTATCCGATATGCTATTCCATACATAACTCTATACTGTATACTTTATGAATCAATAAAAAGTTTACAATTTTTAATTATAAACCTGTGTTTTCTATCAAAGTTACTTCTTGCGTGAATTTTGGGACACCCTTTATATCATAAAACACGGTCCGCGTTATTGTCGGAAATATCGTAATCGATGTTTTTCTTTTTCCTTTGTTTCGAGGAGGTTTTGAGAAGGGGCTGGGCCGAATCAATAGTTTTCTCACGGCACTTACGAGAGCGTCGTGAGTCGTGGTCTCTCCTCTCGCAGAACATGTTAATCAGTTCATGTAGCGCGCGACGAGTACGGTGAGCTCCTCCAGATTAGCGAGGAAAATCCGTAGATTGGTTAACGAGGCTCAGTACGAACTCGGCGAAATTGGCTCGATTAAAACCCACGGGGCAGCTGCCCCGAGGATTGTGCCCCGTCATGTGATTGGTCCCTTCTCCCGGGTCCTTTCTTCGATCTCCTCCATTTCGAGATGCATCGATACTCGGCCATCATTAATCATGCACTTTTGTACACACTCGTCGATGGGACTCCCTGCGAGGGACATCCGAGACGCAACAAAAATGAATCTCGAAGATCGAGACTGGTCCTGAACGGCGATCGAGGCCAGATGTTATTAACTTATGTAAAATAAACATAAACGAACGAGCCTCTCGTTCGCGCGCGCGCAGGGGGTACTCCGCTGTGGAAGCAACAGATATTAATCGTGAGACTTTTAGGAGAGAGAGAGAAAGAGAGAGAGAGAGAGGGGGGGGAGGGAGGTGGGTGGGAGAGAGAGAGAGATTGGTAGCGACATTGTGATTACTTTATGCAAAATATCAAATTAAGTCGCGATGGCATTATCAAATTGGCTGACGGATCGGATATGACGAATACCGATCGATCAAATTGATTTTAAAAGATCTCTTCAGACACGTTCCATTATGACCTAACGACGAAAATTGAACAAATCTCATTAATTTCAAAAAGCATCTGCTGCGCTCGGTCGATCGAGCCCGATCCGACAGAAGTTTCTCCTGCGAATACGCCTGAATAAAGGCATCGCGTAGGAAGAGTATATACCGCGCCGTTTTGTGGCTAGAGGAACGCGAACGCCGCTAAAACGGTGATGTAAGTTTAATTACGAGAGAATTAAACATCGATGTAGAGAGGACGACGAAAAAGCCCGCGCGCGCCCGCCCGTATATATTTGCATCCCTCCGATTTGCATTTAAAGTGCAACCCGCATGTAGTCCGCTCTTTCGCTCGTACGAGCGGATAACAAAAGGAGGTGTTCTACGACGTGTGGCTCTGAAAGACCCACACGAATTAATGTTAACTATAATAGCGCGAAATAATGGATACCATTATTATCGACGTCGCGTCAATAATCGAGCGAGTGAGCGGATGTTGTCGGGGGACGGAGACAAATTGAATCGCGGGCCGATTCATTTCACGCCAATAATATCGCGCTATCGTGCCTGTGCGTTTGATTCCAGGATATGGACTTGATCGAGGTGCTGTGGAAGCAGGATGTGGATCTGGGATTCACGCTGGTGGAGCCGGCGGCGGCACCCACCAAAAAGCCGTCCACGTCGAAGAAGGAATCGGCGGATGAGATCGAGAAGCTGAAAGCCTTGGAAGCTATTAATGCCACCAATCAGAAGGTACGCGGAAACTTGTTCTTTCTTTCTTCCTTCCTTCCTTTCTTTCTTTCTTTCTTTCGTTCTTTCCTTCCTTCTCCCCATACGCGCGACTAATACACGTCGCGCCGTGTTCCAATTTCGTGTGTCGGCCGGCGACATCGTAAAACTCGCGCGGGCGCGCGATTTCACTCGTTGCGCGCGCGGCGATTAATAAACAATTGTTTATCGAGATTGCGGCCGCTTTCTGCTTTCACGCGTTAGGAGGAAGCGTCCGCTTCCTCGAACTTAATTTAAATCTTCGTTTCTCCGTATGGCAACCATTGGGGCCCATTGACGTCTTCCTGTGTCCCCCAGGCGATTATCGAAGATAGAAAGCTCGACGTGCTCGCGTGCACCTGCGCGCGCACCGCTCGCGAAGAATAACTCGCGCGACATCTCGCGCGTTTTCCTGTCCTGCCTCTCTCTCGCCGGTAATCACCGGCCAATTGGGTTTACTCGCGCGAATAGGAAGCGCGACATTCTGCGCGCGCGAGCGCGTGAAAAAGACTTCCAGATTTGGCTTCCGGGCATTTGTACACACGCGCGCGCGTCCGAGAATACTCGAGGACGGTTATTCGTCGGTCTTCGTCTCTCAGCCCTCGACCGTCATCAGGAATCAATTTGCTGACTCGATTGGAGAATAGCGCACGTCGGAATGCGTCTCGAGACGGCAGAATGGCGGCCGCTTGACGCGCTGATAGAAGGGGATACAAACACGGAACAATTTGTGCCGATAGATTCGTATCGACTCGTAAAAAGTCGACGGCGTGGCACAAAATGAAGATGACACCGTTTGCCGGGCTAACGGATGGAATCCGATCGTCCGGGTGGTTATCTCCTCACAATCTCTCTGCGTCGCGCATCCCGCGTGAAGTGTGTAAAGCTCATTCGCAGGGGAGCTGCTCGTTCTCGGAACGTGAACATTCGCACCCCGCGAACCTCGCTCTTCCTTACGGGAAATTTGGCGCTTGTGCGCCCACCTTGTGCCACCTTGCCATTCATCGCGCGGCTCCCACGTTCATAATCGCTCGTGGATGAACGACGGAGACTGTTAAGCTGGCCCCGGCAGCCTCCGTCCTCGGTAGGCCCGAGGAGAGAGATTAGGAGTCCTCGGATATGATCTCGGCCGATATTCCAATCCCTAGCCCGTATCGGGCATTGATCTTGTCTCTCCGACTTGTACGCACGGACTAAGATAGCGGTCGCTTTGTCTCACGACGTATTATGTCGGGTGTCCCACGAAGAGACACGCTCGCACGAGGTGACGGGGACGCCCGTCGGACGCGATTCTTTTCTCCTAGTGCCTCCTCGTGGTATTTATCCGTCAAACGTCTCAGCGTACTATTTTATTTACGATCAGAGAGAACGGAGATTGTTCGATATTATCCAACTGCCGCGCTTGAAGTAATAATCGGGAGACTTTAAGCGGAGGTTTAAGATGCGCCGTGTGATACCTTCGTGATTTCATCGTTATACAATGATAATGATGGCATCGATCGGTGAAGATAGTGTTTCTTTCAGTTGAGCAAAATCGCGTTCGATCTTTGTGTTACTAGACCACCTCGACTACGTCTCTACGCGCAACGACGGTTTGTCGACGATCGAGCAGTTTGTTCTGTAACCACTCTCCCACCCCCCACCCCCCCTCCGAGAGAATCTCTTGCGTAATACGGCGAGTCCTTTAATTTTCCAGAGCTCGACTGTCATTCCGCGCTGTAAAATGTATCGCGGAGCAACATTGTTCCGCCGCTTTAGCAATCGCTCGAACGTATCCCCGGCGTCGATCCGTGAAGAACGCGGGTTCTTCCCGTTGATTGGATTCCAGTCGATTCTTCTCGTGCGAGGTGTTTTTCGATAGCGACGACTTTCCTCCGCTCGCAGCGCGCGCGCGCGCGCGCGTTTCGGTGGATGGACGCCGCGAGGTGCGTTTAAGTATCGGGGAGAGATTCGAGTCTACGAGAGCTCATCCATACGATGGTCACCGACAATGACGCTGCATCGACGTTCTGGGCGGGTAGCCCATCAGACTTCTCGACGTTCTTCGTCCTCCCTCTCTGTCTCTCGTCCTCCCTCCGTCCTCCGGCTTCTTCGCTTCTTCTCTCTTCTTCTCACGACCTTCGGTAGTCGGTGTTCCTTCTTTCTTTATTTCTTTCCCGACGTCGCTATGCGCCGCTCCGTCTCCCGGCCTCTTCCTCCACGAAGATCGCATTGTTCCAGCGGGTTCCACCTTTGTGAGGGCTCGCCGCCGCCTTCGAGGGCCCAATAATACGGGGAAGACCCTCGATCTCGATCGAAAGTCGACACATCGATACGC